AGAGTAAGGAAATTACTTTACATTTGTAGAACAAAACTGTGGACTCCGATTTATACCTCTATTACACTAAACGTGGGTTTGTGAAATTCGAACTACTAGCGGTTAAGGTTAAACATCGGTGCGCAAGGATCTGAAGTCAATTTCGGATATTTATGGTATTTTGGATTTTGCATTTTACATTCCTTACGAGAAATTTGATAAATTAGAATTCCTTGCATGTCTCACCTTTTCTCAGAAGCTATGAATTTAGACCATTTTAAAATTTAAAAGTAAAAACTACTAGAAACATAAGAAGCTTTTGTGTGCCTTGGTATATGTTTATTTATGTTATGCACCCGCATTCTGATTTCATAAAATAAAAACATGCCATAAATATACTTTCCTACTTATTCGACCAAATAAACAGCACATATGTATCCTAATTATTTAAACTACGCCATTCCTGCGAAGCTGTGTTCCACGTGGAGTATGTGGCAACTGGTGCAATTACTACCACAGCGACATTACAGCCACAACGCATTATCTCCGAGCTCTCAGCATACATGAGATGATTCTAGCACTGCACATCACTAGAGGCTGCATACAGGAACGTACATACTATTCTTTAAAAATAAAATAAATGTAAGTATTCATTGTTATATTCTGTAGATGGAGGGTTTTTCATAATACGCTTGACAGTTTCAATTTACAGTTAAGGTAGTGTTCAACAAACTGTGACAAATGGTCTAAAATAGGGTGCTAAAAGGTGTTATATTGAGCATGCATCAAAAATCGAACGCCAGTCAATCCGCAAACATGCTGAAATAAACATGCTGATTTTTAGCAAAATTCCGACACACATGCTGCTAAGCGACAAGTGCTCAATTGAAGTATGTTTTCTTGCTTGAAATTATTGCAACCGTGCCTTTACAGATACTTAAACTAAGTTTAACTAAAAAAAAAACTAAGAATTTTTGTAAAATCTACAATACACTACACTTTTTTAAACTTAGGTACTATCAGAATCCTCATGTCAGGTAGCAGTAGCACTTATAGCCATGCCAATGAAGAAAACAAAACTGCTTAACAATACCCACATACAAAAACTTAGTTTTAAAACCCTAAGAAAGAACTTGGTACCAAACACCACTCCTTTAATTCCCAGGACGCGAATAAAAAAGTTTTTACTGAAAATAAATTCAGTAGAAACTTATTAGAATATTCGTTGCTCTTAGACCAGCCCACGTTTGTCGGGAAACTATAGCGGGTGAAGATTAAAACTTGAATAATATATTGTGAAACGTTCGTGAATGAATTTCTGGACATGTATCTATATGAAAATATTGACGACCAGACGTAGACGACATATTGGTTTTTGATGGGTTAAACTGTTTTCTATCGAGGGTGTAGGTAGGAGAAACTTATTTGATACGTAGGTAAGGAAATGAAGATTGATTCAGAGGAGAGAGAGTAGTCATTGATAGTCTATTACCAAGCTTAGCAGTTATAGCTACTGTCTCTTGAACAATCTGTATTGTTTAAACTATTACAAAACAAGATAGATTTAATGACTCTTTTAATAAACGTTGTTGCATTTTTTTATGGCATAAGCCGGTAAACGAGCAGATGGATCACCTGTGGTATCACTCCGGTCGAGCTGGTCCATTCGTGCCGAAGCATGGCTCTTTCACACTTCTTTCATATCATGATTTTCGTGTATCATAGGTACATTTACATACAAAAATACTACATCACACGCAGACCTGTGGCAACTACATATTTGTTAGCCACAGCTCGACCAATTCCATTAATTATTTTCTATTGAAATTTAAATCTAGAAGCGTATTTAAATTCACCAAAATCCAAAATTTTTAGCAGTCTAACTTAAAATATGAGAAGACGATCGCGTTGATAGTATCAAGTAACCAGCAAGTGTACGAACAAGTTACAACATGATACTCACATGGGGAGCCGAATCGCTCTGAAATATTAAACCTTCGGTCAGGGAGACGGATCGTAATAAAAATGTGCTTTATTTTTGCACTTTGATGCTTTTAGGGAGGACTCTGTTCAATGATTAACCAAGGGAGAGGTTGTCTGGAATAATACAAGGCTCGCTATCAATGTGTAAACGTTTACGTGAAAGGATGCGGATAGTTGAGGTCAATGGACGGGGTTGGTTGGCTAGTTGGGTACTTGTGTTTTGTCGAAAAATGCACCACGTGGTGCGTATTTAAACTGTTAAACACCGGTGACCGCAACCTATTGTTCTTTAATTGTGTCTATAAATACGGTACTCGACGGTAACTTGTTAAGGATTTGCGATGTTGTAAATAATCATTTAAGCTTACCGACACTTAATTCAATCAACCGTCACAAGAGCACATCTCATGCAGTTTGTTCATAAAATAAAATTATTAATAATTACTATTTCTGAGCTCTATTTTTACCTATTTTCGTGGTGTCAGTTAACATAACATAACATCACGCCTTTTATCCCCGAAAGTGTAGGCAGAGATGCACATTACGGAACTTAATGCCACTGTACAATGTAACACCCACTTTTCACCATGTATGTTATGAGTCTCATGTAATAGGGGGTGAACCTATTGCCATATACTGGACGCATTTCCAGACTCCGTACTACTACAGTCAGTTTCAGTTAAATAAGTATTGAAAACCATGTCTTTATATAGATATATAATTTTCTATTCTGCACATCTCTTAGATTTCTTTGCATATAAAATACACTCGAAGGAATAATATATTTACTATTCTTCCAGACCAATAAATAATTTCATTTTACTAAGCGACACAAACCAGGACTTCATACCTAGCAGCATCTTCGATCACATTATAGTGACAACCTTTCAAAATCTTGAAGAAACACAACACATTCTTAAAGACACAACCAACTAGATTAACCAGTATACATTCGAAATTCAAACAACTGCAACTGTCAACATAACCGGCTCGCAAATATGGTATCCTAGTAATACATAACTCAAAATGTACGTACTAACGGACAGGGGTACCGCATTGCACCACCTACCCTCAAACTTAGCCACTACTGCCTACCCTCGGGAACCATTGTCCTAATTGATAGGCTCGCGGAGATTTTAACACGGTGATACAATATTTGTGGTTACATTTATTTTGTGGTACATTGTTAATGTATTCATACATGCATTCATTTCATTGCGTTTGTAATTTTAACAAACATTTCATGAAATAGGTATGTCTGATATTTTTGTCAGTTAATTATATTTTGTAATTGTTTAGCTTTTGATTCACTTCCTTATGTATTTTTGTTATAATTTTTTTCTAATGAATACTGATCAATTTCCTTATGAGTTAATTTTGTTCGTATCAAGTTAGGCTTATACTTACTATTTAATCCACTTTAAGCATGTATGTACAGTAGAAGTTCGTAAACATGACAGCTTATTGACATGTTATTTTACAAATGAGGAAAAGTGAGCGGTTTACGTAAGTCAATAAAACAGACAGTGGAAAAGGAAATAAGGTGTATCGTTAAAAAAACAAAACAAGATAAATATTATTTATAATCGTATTTTTCGAGATTTATAGGGATAAATTGTCGAATACGAAATAAAAGGCTCGCGTAGGGTCTCCGCCTTTGCCTCTCAATCCCCGTCTCCACAACAAATAAAATAAATCCTATATTTTATTACGCAATCAAAACATAATCTCGAAATTCGAAAACACACTAAACCCAGCCAGTCCATAAAGTCGACAGTGTCGAGTCAATTTCGACGCGACAAAAACGTTACGACAATTCTACATTTGAAAAATGCGAAAACTTTTTCGTTTAAGTTTGGTAACTCCCGCGCTTTATGTTCACATTACTGACAAACCTTTTTGCTGCTAGAAATCTGGTATATACTTAAGCGATCTCCCTTCAAGTTTCCTTCAGCACTTATTGTGCGGTCGAATCTGTGATTTAACTATAAAAATTCAAATATTGTTAACTGGTTCTTTTCAATAATACTTCTTTGGTATTATGTTGCCCTGGTACTTAAATCTATTAATATGATCAAATCACTCCAGTACTTATCAATAAACTTTTGAATAAATGTACTTATGAAAAGTAAGTAACATTTTGAAAGGTTGGAAATAATAAAAGCTTATCTAGCCCTCATTCCTGAGTATATCTATGAATATGTTTGCGTTTGCAATGTTGTATATTCGTGTCAAGTGCTCTACTAAGTCATTCAGCGCCACGTACTTTCCCCCTGTAAAGCCAACATTTATTACAGCTGCGTTACTTCCGTCAACCCGGCCTATCTAAACACGCAGCCCTCTGTAACATTTCAAATTTAATTGGTCGCAACGCCATCTATTATTTCTGCCCAAGCACTAAACTTTTCCAAGGTATGAATGGACCAGCACGCATGCGTACTTACGCATCGATCCGGGATACAAACTTTGTAAATAATCTATCCCGCGACAAAAAAATCGCGGTAGTCGTAATATTTCTCGATTCTAGTTCATAAAAATCCAAATTAATTCCATCTAAAGTTATGGAATAAAATATAACGTGACTCGATCATAAATAAATAGAGATCCCTTTATGATGGATCGTATAAAAAGAGAAAAATTCAAACTTTCAAACGAAATACCTATTACAAAGAAAATTTTATTATTAAATGTCGATGAGTCCACGTTCGTGTATACCAAATATTTCATTCCACCAATAAAATTTTATTCGGAGTCGGCGCACTGACGCCATGTTTACAACGTTTTCCCGCCAGTAGGGGCGCCACGATCGCTGCAGCCTCTCGGGCGTAGCTGTCAAAATTACGTTTACGAAAAAATTGCGATTCCCTTACTTATTGCCGATTTCCGATTGTTATAATCGAATATATTGGATAACAATATGCAGATTTAAGTTTGTAATAGTTGTATTCGGTATTCGGTAGCCGATTAAAACCTAACCTATTTCATTTCGGTCAGCGTCGGTGGTATATGGTGACAATAATCTTCAGTGTTATTGCGAAATGTCCCGGACCTTTCTTCTTGTCTTTTTGTTTGTTTTCGGCGTTTGTTATTGTAATCCTGATGCGAAACGCTTATATGACGACCTACTGAGTAACTACAATAGGTTGATACGTCCTGTTGATAAAAACAACAATACTGTGTTGGTGAAACTTGGCTTGCGACTGTCACAACTGATTGACTTGGTAAGTCTTTTTACATGATTTTCTTATATTCTAAAGCATGGTGTAGGTGTAAAGCATCAAGCTTCGAGAAGTTTAAGATGTCCGACCTCATTGTATTATTATATTTTTTTACTTTTTTTTGTTAATGACGGCAACAGATTATGCATAAATATTATTTAAGGAAACAATATTCAGTTTGTTTACTATAACGATTGCTTCTTGTTTTCTTCATGTAGTTTTCATTTTATTGCTGGTAAAAGTTTATTTACTATCGGGTACAACAGGTGCATGTGGCAGAAAATAGCAAAAATATATTCCAATGCGGTGTTTATTTTTTCCGACGGACGCGCGTCCATTATTTTTTCATTTAGTATTAAAGCAATGTAGCTATTATATAACAGTTAGTAAGATATTTTTTTCTATAACACAAACATATAATTGATCGATTTGGAGCTTTAATAAAAACTGTATATTTTGCAAATAAAGAACAAGTGTCCTCCATTTGAAGTATTCCTCCATATCCATTCAGTAGACACTAACTCATACTTCAGGTCAACATCCATGAAAAATATCGCACTTATGAATATAATTGGGGTTAGCCAAAGTAACTGACAAAACAACTCTTGTTTCACAAGGAAAAGCAATAACTACAAAACAACCTTTATAAGTACAAGGTTTTATATCTTTTTCGCCACATACTACGATTCGACCACGTTGATACTTCCATACTCCGGCACCGGCGTCGGCACCGGTTGATTAATCTAAAGGTTCTCGATCTTCTTCCAAAATACAAAATCTATATTTCACTGCCTCGTTGGCCGAGTGGTCGCAAGTGCGACTGCCGGGCAAGGGGTCTCGGGTTCGATTCCCGGGTCGGGCAAAGTATCACTGGGTTTTGAAAATTCTCAGTAGTAGCAAGGAGTCTGGAATTGTGCCCAGTATATGGCAATAGGCTCACCCCCTATTACATGGGACTCATAACATAAATAGTGAAAAGTGGGTGTTACATTGTACAGTGGCATAATGTGCACCTCTGCCTACCCCTTCGGGGATAAAAGGCGTGATGTTATGTTATGCTATATTTCAATAATTACACTCATCAGACTTCACTGAAAAATACGGGTTATATACTAAAAGCTCTACTAGATTCGAGTCTCAGAGGGACTCTTCATCATGAGTCAGTATAGGCTATAGGTTGTGTGTCTCGATACTAGTAGAGCTTTACTTAGTATATTTACATGAGTAACCCGTAATTTTAAGCCAATTCAGTATTGTCTCACGATAGTTATTTTAAATACAAACATTTCAAAAACATTCCTATTTTCACCACGTCGTAGTTTTATCAAAGACCTAGGTACATTAAGAAATATTCATGTAATTCTTCAAAGGGTTTGAATTCCCTCTGATACTCTTATCTAATATCAAATTGTAACTACTACTAACTAGATACGTAATTAATCAGTGCACTCCCGATGTCTCTCCGGACACGGCAGAGGTCGTTCTGTCCTCTGAGAGTTAGACATAGACAACATGGAGTGCAACTGTGTTTGCGCACAAACACACTACCTACTGCGCAGGTGGCTTGTAGCTGTTACAAGATTGGTCTTACCTATATTAGCTTTATTAATTCACTATGATTCATCTTTAAGGGTACCGAATACTCAATTGTCTGATGATTGACAATATCGAACGCATGCCTACGTTGTTTTCGGATTCAGATAAATGTGCCGGGTACCCAGAACCGGCTATCCGGCAACCTGAACGTGTGAAAAGGCACTTATTGGATATTTTTATTTCCTACTAGCTAACCAGGCAAACTTTGTATCGTCTTACAAAATTTCCTCACCTTTTAAACCTTCCCTGGATTTCCATTCCTTTCAAGACCAAAATTAGCCACATTGATTCTGTCATTCTCGAGTTTTAGCGAGACTAACGAACGGAAAGTCATTATTATTTATATATGCTTTTTTAGTAACAGAGTTTGTAGTTGAAGGTGAATGGAACCCCCGAAAATACCTAAACAAGTATTTTATTACGAGTAGTGTGTTCCATAGATTCGGCCAAAAATAATTTGTTGCCCAATAGGGCTGATAGGCGATACGGAGCCGCGGAGGACTTAACAGGTTGCCGGGGCTCCGGCTCGAAGGGCAGGAGTAGGAACGGGGTGGTTTATAGTCAGTAAGAGTCTGACACTCCCTCCAGCCTCACCCAGGCGGGAGAAGACATTTGATGAATTTCCCCCTTAAAAAAACGCTGTTACGAAATCCCAGTATTGTAACAGTGACATTCTACCTTATTTGATATGTTTTTTTTTATTTTTCATACGACCATGTTGTACGAACAAGACATAGTGATGCATAGAGTAATAACACGAAACCCAAAACAAACCCACACAACCTAAAACAAACTTTGACACAAAAAAACATATCGTATTAAAAAAGGTGTGAATATCCATGGTGTATTGATTACTGAAAACAACCTTACCTGCGGTTACCATGGCAACGAGAGGGTTCCACAGGTGCGATGAGGACTGCCCTCGTGGGCCTAATCAAATATTTAGTAAATAAGTTCAAATAATAACGTATGAGCTTGTAAAGTTTAATGCTGTTGGACCAACGAGTATAATAACAAATATAATGAACAAAATCATTTGGGATTTGAAAATAGACGATCATAAATGGAAAATGATCGTAAAGGCCTGTGTTAACATTATATGGAGCCTTTTATTTCCCCGAAAGGGTGTGTAATCAGCCTTTTCTCTGTATAATTAGGATGTAACTAAGCAGTTTTATATTACGTTGTGAATCTCATGTAACCCTAGTACCTAGTGAGGTTATTGTCATACTATGATATTCCTATCGAAGTGACTATATATTATTAAAGAGTATAATTTATCACTATGTTTATCACCTTTAAGTGGCTCTCGTAAGAACCAAAGGTATCGCAACAGTACTAAGGAACTATGTTATTGACAACGACCGGGAAGTGGCTCTCACTTATAATTTGAGTCTTCTAAACTGTGAATTAATCTTCAACCCTATTTCTACCCTGATAAGAAAGTTGGTTGACCAACGGCAAGTCCCAATGTGACTTTTTTCCGTGTTATATGTATGTACTTTCTAAGATTATTTCGACACCACTGACAAACGGTGAAGGAAAACAACAACGTGAGGAAACCTGGGCTTATAATATCTAATTATAAGTTTGAAGTCGCTAACCCGCCTTGAGCAAGCGTGGTGATTAATGCTCAAACCTTCTCCATATGAGAAGACATCTTTGGTCAGCAATTGCCACTTATAGGCCTGTCTCTTTTGTAGACGAGGTCCATAGTTATGATAGTGGCAGTTGATGTTCCTACATATGTATGCATATATGAGATGCGAAAAATGATCAACAGGTTCCTAAGCCACTAACTTTGAACCAAATGCATATTTGTGTTGCTGTACTGCCCTTAATGCAACCTACTAGGGCGCCATAAAGAACAAGACACGCATGTTTTAGACACACTCATACTTATAAACTTTACCGATACATTCAACAAAATACATTAGACACACCCTTTTGTACACACATGGACCAATGAATTCTAACATCTATGCAAATAACTCAGCAATACATGTTTACCATGACAATCGTCCTACAGGTGCCCCGGATATGATAAACTCTCATGGGCCTACTTAAACATTTGAAAAGGGATGAACGTACAAACAAACGAATTTAAGAATCTTATTTGTTCAGGATTTAACTGGTTCAATCTGGTTCAACGAGTAACGGCTTGTAATTAGTCGAATTTAATGTAAGAGATTTATGTTTACCTACATATTTATCTTGATAACTTATTAACATAATGTATTATAAGTCGTGGTGGCCCGGAAATTTAAGACGTCCGCTTCTCATGTATGAGGATACTGGTTCGAAACCCACCAACGGTAAGTAATCAGGCAAAAGCTATGTGACTTTTTCCGAGTCACATGTACTTTCTTAGATCATTCAGACTCCACTGACAAATGGCGAAGGAAAACATCTTGAGGAAACTTGGGCTTATGATTTGTATATAAGTCTACAATCGCCAACCCGCATTGAACAAGCGTCGTGATTAATGCTGAAACCTCCTCCGTGTGAGAAGAGGCCTTTGGTCAGCAGTGGCCACTTATAGGCAGTTTTGATGATGATTATTATAACATTTTCGTGTGTGTCTAGCGCAGCATCCTCTAAATTTTCAGTAACGGTATTGCGAATCCTAAGTCACCTACCAAATAAGGGGATTGTAGCAAACCCCCTCTTAAGAAGTAGACCATTTTTCCAGCATCGAACGTTGTTCAGCTAACAATAATTATGATGATGATAATAAATTAGATATTGTTTATGTCATTAATTTATTTTTATAGGATGAGCCGGTAAACCAGCATACGGATCACCTGATGGTAAGCAATTGTCGTCGCCCAAAGACACATGAAACATCAGAGGCTTTACAAGTGCGTTACTGGCCTTTTGGGGATTAGAAGTTTGAACATAGTTGGGGTTCAGGGATTGGGATTACTGTTTGATTGATTGTTTATGTGAGTGAAGGAAGGAACTTTAGTGTAAATATATATAAATATAAATCCTTCCGTTCTAACAAGTGCACGCTGTATACAAGCCGCAAAGTTCCTTCTGTGAATTTTGAAATCAAAACAACGAAATTCGATTCCCAGACCTATCCGACTAAAGACTTCAGCAGACAAACTTGGAACCACAAGATCACAATGATTTGAATGTTCAGTGATAACAACAGATCTACCCCAATTGTAAGTTAACTTTAATATCTTGATTAATACGAAAATTGTTTTGTTTGTTACAATTACATGCCTAAATTCCTCAATTGGTTTTGATTAAATTTCGAAAAGACTTAAAAGAAAAATGGAAAAACTGCTACATATGAGCCTATTCTAATTTAGAGTCGCGGAGAACCTAACGGGTAACCGGGGCTCCGGCTCGACGTGCAGGAGAAGGAACGGGGTGGTTTTTAGTCAGTAAGAGTC